ACGTGAGATATGTCAGCGAATATCTTCGTCATGTCGCTTATCCACCGCATGTTAATGACACTTTCTGAAACTACGAATACTGTTACAGTGTCATCGCAATGAAATAGCATAATGCAATTCGCCGCCGGTTATGTACACCTAATCTGCAAAACCGATACTTACATATGACTTCAGAACTATAATAATAACGATTACACCGAGGGCGCGTCTCTGCGACAAATCCACCTCCCGTTTAAATTTCCTACGATATTATTCGTATATGACACAAGTCTCTCGCGATTATCGCGAGAACGTTCGATATCTCGGGAGTCACTCGATGATCTTATTATTATACGTTTTTACGCGTGTCGCGAATATATATATATGCAAATCCACGGTGTCCGTGTATAATAAACCACTAGAATATAAACGCGGAGAGTGCAATGTGCTATAATATTCTAGGAAAGGGGTTGCACTCTCCCTTCCCGCCTAGGAAAAAAAGAACTGAGCTCTTTGCGCAATGTACGCCCCGCGATAAGCCAGCGACATAAAACTGAAATTTACGGGTCTATAATTCTCTGTGAGAAAGAGAGAGGCCGAAGAGGCGCGTCGCGTTTGTAATCCGTTTAGAGTCGGCTCGCGACACTGTGCCGGCTCGTTCGCCACAGAAACTAACGATTTCTCTACGACAGGATTGTTAAAAAGGCAGTTAGGAGTTGTCACGAACATGCTGGTTGCGGTAGATAAACCTAAAGTGTCTCCACCGTAACCGCTGCAGGTAGCCAGAGAAAGAGGAAAACAAAGAAGAAAATACAATTATTGTGCCACGATAGGAAATCAACGTGCCCCGTGAAATCTTTACCTTGTATAGACGCTTCAGTTACTGACGTATCAGAAAATAAATAGGCCTCGTCATTCTAATAACTAATCCTATCTCCAAAGGGAAATCACTGGGTATCCCTGGTGCATTATCCACGGCCATTCGAGAGAATCCCTGTTCTTATACATCGTTCCCGGATAGTTCTTTCATGGGATGCCTCAGCAAATTGAATCGTCCGGTGATCGTACCTAGGTGCCATTGTTAGGAAGTAGTTTGAGAAGGCGCTATCGATCGTACTCGGAGAACCATCGTATTCGGAGCGGAATAACTCGTCCGAGTACGATTCTGAGAAAGTTTGAAATTTTGCACGAAATTTCGATCGCTCTTATTTCTTTAAAAATACGACGTGTTGCGCAGCCAGTTAAGAAGTTTCGATCGAACTTTGAAAATAGTTCCCGTCGTTCTTTTTCGATCATTTTACGATCGTCTGCCCTTACCATCGTGCCCTCGCCATGCCATTGTACACCGTGTCGCACTTTATCTGAGAATTGTCTCGTCGGTCATAGTCCAGCAAAATCCCTTCATCCGCGAATGCGTGCATCGCACGGATCGTGTATCGCACACACATATACAAACTATATTCCGGACTTGGACCCTGGAAAATGTGTGCGAGTATAAGTCTTGGCGGAAAATTTACGAGAAAGGCAGCCGTCTGTCTCGCAAGCATTTAATTTTCAACGTCAGGTATCCCGGTGGCCGAGCCTTAAATTTAATTTCTTAAGGTAATCGATGGTTCGGGCACACCCTACGATCTGTCACACGGAGGAACGAAAGAAAAGGGACAGGATCCAGCGAGGGTGGAAGCATCGTGGTAAGGAAAAAGTGCCAGACGAAGGAGAATAAAAAAGGAAAAGGAGACGAGAGTGAATAAAAAATAAAGTAGCATCGGATGGTCGATATCGTAAACAGAATAGACTATTTCTCTGTATAGATATATAGAGATATATATAGATATAAATACGTCATCAAACGTACACTGTTAAATTTATAATATCACATTATATCCAATTTGAGTTATTTTTACCTTTCTGTAAGTCTCGTCACTTCTTTAATATTTTGTTAATTTAATTGAAATAATAAAGTTAAATAATTTAAATTGAGAAAATATATTAAATTTGACTTTGATTTAATTTACTATTTACTAAATGCATACGTTAATATAAAAGTTATTTACTTTGAAACTAACTACAGAAAGGGATTAATTTAGATCTTGACACATGAAGAAGTAAAAATAATAAAATTATTTAACTCTCAAGGAATTAGATTGTCATTGCTCCTTTGATATTTAACAGTAGAATAGTATATTTTTTAAAAAGAATTATTATGTGTACATCTCTCTCTCTCTCTCTCTCTCTCTCTCTCTCTCTCTCTCTCTCTCTCTCTCTCTCTCTCTCTCTCTCTCTCTCTCTCTCTCTCTCTCTCTCTCTCTCTCTCTCTCTCTCTCTCTCTCTCTCTCAGAAAGTGCAAGCAGACACGCAAACCAAAATAAAACGAAAAAAATTACAAATGAAGTAATGATGCAGACTAGAAGTAATTACAGCTAAAAATAAAATGACACGAGGCGAAGATAAACCCGAGCATTGGACGCCGACATAAAAAAAAGAAAGAGTATTCTATAATTAATTAGTTTGGAAAGAAGAGTAATGTTTATATACATTTCAGATTTAAACGATTCGATAAAATGAAACTTGAGAATGAGATTTATATCTTGATGGCATTAAGTCTCAATTATCGGTAGCAGAAATGATCTACATGTAGTATGACGTAATAGTATATGTAAGTCGTTTGAGCGATGAGACATTCTTTCAAACTTCTAAATGATAATGGAAATATTCTCGGAAGGTACTCTCTCCAGAGAGAAAATAAAAAAGTAGATATAGTATGAAAGAAGAGAATGGCAGACAAAGAAGCGGGAAAGCGGTTTAGCAAACAGGATCGGTTAACAATAACTCGACGAGCAAGTTTCCATCGACTCCGTCGCGCGATCATCTATTTCCGACCGAGAAAAACAAGAAATGCAATATCTCCCTGCGACATTTTTAATATTTCGCATCAATGTGAGCTTAATTCGACGTTAATGAGATCCAACAATTCCAGGCCGATCGAATACTCGGCGGAAAGAGCGCCAATCGCGTTATTGCCAACGATGACTTCGATGCATAACTGCGCTCTGATTGTTGTCAATTTGTATAATTATACAATATGAATGTACTGTCGTGCGCACATGTCTATAATTCACAGAACGTGTGTTGTACGCCGTCGAATGCAGCGCGCATAGATGCAAGCTGATGCGTGACATTAATAGAGTTGCAACTCAATTGTCATTTTGCACAAAAGTCCATGGGTGTGTTGTCACATATATAAATTTGTCCGCGCGAATGTTATGTACACAAACCGTAGTTTCATCGTAATATTGTGTAATTTAAAACAATATTATTATATCATATCTACCAATCTATAACATGATAAAGACATTAATGTAACTTTCAATTTGCGTATTCCTAATTGGATTTTATCGACTTCTATCGATTAGTCTTTCGAACATAATCCCGCTCAAAATTAAATTTCCCTTTAGCATACAGAAACCAAGCAGAAGCTGGAAGAAATAATAGAGAGGCAAATTTGAAAAACTTTGCGGTCTTCGTACGTAGAAAAGTCGCCACGCGCTACGGAAATTATGCGAATCCTTGAAATTTGTCGGTTCTAAAACTTTAAAGGATAATAACATCGCGTCGGAAGTTTGTCGGAGGCGAACATTGATTGTCGGCGGCACGTGCGGCATGAATAGCGAAAGTATCGTCGATGTACAACGTCGTCGAGATGCAACGACGTCAATTAATGCATCGAAATTACGTTACATCGGTATAGCTTTTACCGAGTCTCGAACGTCTCAGTGCAAAGTGGTTTGGCGAAACGCAGCACCGCGGGCGCATCGTCGAAACAGAATTGTATATGTTTCTCGGCTAAAAGTGCATTGCGGCCGTAATGCATACGATGGAGTGTGTTAAAACGAAGGCAACTTTCCTTATGCAACCCTATATATATGTATATATATATATATATCATTCTGTATTATTTTAACGCAATTATTTCTCGGTAAAGTAACGTTCAGTTCAGAACAATTTATTCCAAGATCTTCCCTCGATGCCATCTCTTTGTTCGTTTAATAGAAATAATATAAACCATCGAGACAAAATTACAAAATGAATATTTGCTCGTCATGCTTTGATTGCGCGTAATTTGTAAAATAATTAAATATATCGAAAAAAATTTTTTTCCACGAATTAGAAATTAGTAGAACAAAATTGAAACAGGTTCGTTAGTGGTGGTTTCATAAAAATGATCAAAGTGGAAATCGTAAAAAAAATAAAATTTTTATATAAAACTATTTCCGGAAAAATCGATTATATTAATCAGAAAACTGATAATACCTTTCGTAACTGGATGAATATGCATAATTTGCATTAATTATCAAAGATTAAAAGCAATCAATATACTATTTGAGAAAATAATAAATAATATTCATGTTGCCAGAGAGCTATATCTGTAAAAATATCAATTTTTTTTAATAAAATTTTTTAATTAGAAATAATAGAAATATTATATTTTTCACATTTCAAAAAAAAGATAGAGAGAGAGAGAGAGAGAGAGAGAGAAAGAGAGGGAGAGAGAGTCATTGTTAAACTGAATTTATCAAACTGAAACGTCATTGAAAATTACATCAGTTCAAAACAGAACAGACGTTCCTATAATTTTCTGATTTCCAAATCCAATTATCTCGCAAACAAAGCTTCGTTTAAAAAAGTTTTGCCCCATTTTTTTGTTCTGCTTTAGAATCACTCTGGTTATCCCGCTAATAACCTCGGCTTGGCAGTTAACTTCGCTCGTAGAATGCAATCGCGGTAGGTACGACCAAGGTGGCACACGAGAGCAAATAAGAAAATCACGTTGTTTCACAGCAACGTTATCAAATATAGAGGGGACAAATTGCCTATTTTTATAAGAGTTGCGAAACAGCGCGGTGGAAAACGGTCGCAGTGGAGCGTCGTAGCGCGAGCCAGGCATGCGCTTTCGTCGCAGGGTGGCGCGCGGCAGTGAAAGAGCTCGAGGGCGAAACCCACGTTTCAGTCTGTCGCGTGTATTGCTACAGTTCGTATAGTGTACCGCTCTCCATCGCCGTAGTGCTCTCACCGGTGCCTCTCGGATCAGTCAGATCTCGAGCGAGGAGGGTAAACTCCGACGATGTCGTGATGCCGTGAGAGGAGACGCACGCGAGAGTCACGCGTACATTACGTGACCACCAGGGAGGACCGGGGCGGTGGTGGTGCGTTCTGATCCCACGCGATCATCCCGCTGAGGGGGCGAGATGACGTCTCGACGGAGCGCCGCGCGACCTCGTCGCTCGTCGCGGATCGCCGCTTCTCGCGCGTAAACCCAAATTCCACTCGTGAAATTCCCGCCCGACCCGACCGCCCGCGACGTCGATATCGGATCTCGTCCGAGATCGTCCCCCTAGGCACCAAATTTTCACCCTGTGGGACCCTGTCTCCGTCAAACGACGAGATAGAGTAAAGATACGCGACGGTCGCCCGACTTGGGAAACTCTAGTTTGTACATAGCTAAAACTCGTCCCGCGAGACAGCTTCCGCCAGGGAGAAACTTCCTAATGCGCTAATTCAGAGAGAGAGAGAGTTGCGAGATTGGAATTTAAACTCTTACGAGAGAAGAGAAATCGTCATTAACCCTGGCGCGAATCGAAGGATGCACGTGATCCTATTTAACGCTACATCCAATTAGAATATGTCGCGCAAGTCTTTAAAAAGCAAACGAGGGGAAAAGGTCGAGTACGCTGCAGCGACTACACCGCTCCGGTGGCGGCCGAGAGATGACTATACCGGTGGCGAGAGAGAGAGAACGATAAGCCTATTATCAGCCAGCTTTAAGTGAAGCGGGATTGATCGTGTAAAAATAACCGGCGCGCGGCACAAAAAAAAGAGGATCACGTGGCGGGAATGCGCGCGAGGTGCACTTTGCGGCGACGATTATATCAGTGCGCGGTACGCGATCGTCAAGAAGACCGTCCGTGAAACCCCGTGGGTGACTTCCGGTCCGGGAAGGGGGTTCCGCGTGAGCCGCGTGCCTCGCTCGCCGCTCCGGAAATGCTCGCGGGGATCGTCTTATTGTTAGTGTCGGGTGATGACGATTGGCGAGCGAATTGTCCGTAACAAGATTAGATGATGACGGATTCCCCGACACCATCGACCAGCAGACATCACGACGACAAATGCGACAAGCCCGAGAGATCTGATAAAACGGTGTTACTGGTGAGCGAATCTAGACTCACGCGAATCGCAAACAGTCCCGAACGACTGTTGTATGAAATTACCTTTCTCAAGTCGATGTAACTTTAACGAACTTTCGTTGTAATCCACTCGCGATCATTTTTCACGTCATCGTAACGAGATCTTTAATCTGATAGGCAGCCTCCTTCATTCATTTTTTAAAAGTCCCTCGCTGCCGCTCCATTACTTTTCCATTACTTTTCACTTTTTACAGAATACACATGCAAATAATTGATGCTAAGGGACTGAGTGAAATTATCATAGAATAATAATGCGTATTGATATTTTACTCTCTAAAATCTTTAGAGTGGAATCTAATTCTAAAGAATGATAAAAGGCGGTATTCATAATCCGTTCTTATTTTAATATCGTCTTAAGTAATGTCTTTTAAAATGCTAATACGGCTCTCTGACTGGTTCCTAAGATTGTACTTAAGGTCTTAAATATAAAATCCGTCTACAAATACAAAGCCGTCTACAAGCCAAAAAGAGCGACAATTGAGCGCAAATTCTGAAAAAGGCAAATTCTCAATTTTTAAGAGTGAGATTTCACTCTTTTTAGAGTTAGATTCCATTTCAAAAATTTCAAAGAGTACAGGTAATTATGGGATGAGGAATGATTTGTAGCGCAGTGTTATTTTTTAATTTTCGAGAGCTTCGCGTCCTTCTCTTGGGACTATTACGTCGTTAGTAATTATTCGTGACGCAATCGATTCGTAAATTATCGATACGGCCATTATCTGTCACTGTCAATTATTTAATAATGGCTCGACCAAATGTCGAATTATGTGACGAGTGCTCCGGCATGCAAACATATCATTTTCGATATTTGGACAGGCATGTGAACGAGAAATTGTTCAACGAGAGAAATATAATAATAGCGAAAGTGCAGGCGACGTTATTGCCACGTCGTATGGGATAATCGATGGAGCTTGATCGTGATAGTTTCACTTTTCATGCGTTTCAGCAAATCCAGGACATAAATAGTCAGGTAGCGCAGTTCCGAGATTTACTTATTAATATCGGACAGCCGCGCGACTGCCCGGAGCTGCGCGAAAAAATACGGAAGTTGCGTCGCAACTGCGTGGAGGCTTGCAAGAGTACATCTCAACTTGTCCTGCCGCATGTGCAAAGGTGAGTTTAGATCTAAAGACCTCAGCTCGCAAAGGTTTCTCCAAAGATCTTTGTGGGAATTTTAATATTTAAACGCTTAATAGTAAAAATTATACTGGAAGATAATTCTTGTTGCATTAATTGGAATTTTGGTAGATCAGAAAGTGAAGTGAAATCAGACATTTATAGTTAAAACCATCGTTCTAGTCGAGGTAATCAAGTATTCAATTAAGATAATTAGAATTCTGATTGATGTGATATATGATTAAAATTTATTTTGTATGTATTTCTTGTTGACACATTTTTCTCAGTGTATTATCCTGCATTTTATTCGAATTTTTTTTCAAGAACGATATCAACGTATGTTAGTGTAATCTAGATACAAATATAGAGATTTCTCAAAAGATCTTGTAGAAATTTGAAAAATTGTAGAAATTCTAAATGCATAATAGAAACTACATTGGAAAACAATTTTTGTTGCGCTAATTGGAATTCTGATAGATCAAACACTTGTAGTTAAATCTATAAAATATTTTAATCAAAATGATCAAAAATTCAATTATCATAGAACTAGAATTCTGATTGATATAATAATCATTTGTTCGTATTTCTTGGTATAATCAAAATTTTTCTCGATATAATATCCTGTATTTTCTTTGAAAACCATCTACGAACTACGATATGTTAATGTTTAAAAACAAACCTAAATCGCAGAAGTTTCTTCAAAAATTCTCGTGGAAATTTAAAAATCCGAAGGTATAACAGTAAAAACTGCACTGGAAAATATTCTTGTTGCATTAATTGGAATTCTGATATAGATTTAATCAGGAAAATATAAATTAGAAATCTGATTAAGCATTCATTTTGTACTTCTTGTTGATCAACCAAAACATTTTTCTCAGTGTAATATCCTGCTAATTTTATTCGAATTTTTTTTCGAAAACAATTTACGATCTACGGTACGTTAATGCAGTTTAAAAAAATGCAATCTCAAATCACAGAAGTTTTCTCAAAAGTTCTCTGTGGAAGTTTAAAAAACATCCAAAAACATAAAAACCATACAGGACAAATATTCTCGTTATATTAATTGAAATTCTGATAGATTCAATCAGAAGAATATAAATTAGATATTTCTAATTAAGTCCATCTAATTATTCTAGTCAAAATGATCAGAAATTCAATTACGATAACTAGAATTCTGATTGATATGATCATTCATTTTGTTTATAGATACTTCTTGTTGCTACAAATATTTTTTTCAATAGAATATTCTGTTTTATTCGAATTATTCTTCGAGAATAATATCTACTACACGTTAAAACATGTACCTACAGTTAAGTTCGATATCTGTAGTTTAGTACTAATATATAGGTATAGATATATACGAACGCAGAGTACATTACTCTAAGTTGCCTTTAAACTATTCGTGCTCGATCAGTTAAGCCGTTCGGCAGACAAACTACTCATCTCACAATGGTGTAACGAGAAAGTGCTCTTGATCGTTTTCCTCCGCGACTCCTTCCACGTATTTTCGTAAAGGCTGAGACTCTACTTCAGTAACTTTCTGGCAATGGTAATGAGGACAGTCTTTACTCTATGTGGTGGTTGTGCAGAAGCGACGTTTCTTTGCACGATGAAGGAAAGGAGCGAATATAAACCGCGGAATTAACGAGGACGTCGCATATAGGACAAGGTTCCATCGCCTAAACTCTGGATACAAGTTGGTTCGCAACAATGACAGCGGCCAAAAGAGAGAGAGAGAGAAAGAGAGAGAGAGAGAGAGAGAACTTCTTCGCGATTTCTTACATTGCTTCCGCCAGTCCCTCGTACGTTTTGCACAATGCAGGTCACAGAGAAACGACGAACGACCGAACGTTCGAAGAATCATGGTCGTGAGAAAAACGTCATGTGCCGTCGCCGCTGCCGAGCACTTCCAATAACTTTCATTCCTTAAGTTTGCTGGGCGCGCCAGGTAGTGCTCTTTATCACTAGTTTACGTAAGATTTCTTCCGGCTGAGACACTCACGATTGACTTTGCAATTCACTTCTCGACAAAAAAAGTTCTCCTAACAAAAATCTAATAAAGTATTTCCATAAAATAATTTTAATTAATTGATTTAATCACTTTGTTTACCCACCGTATGGCTTTATAATGATTACGTATATTTAGTATTTTCAATTCAACGACGTGCTTATCATTTGACAGTAATAATACAACGCGAAACAATACAATAATAAAACATATTTTGAAATATACATATACATATGCAGAAAGAAAAAAAAAGATTTATCGACGTAACAGTATATTTTATGATGCTGCGGAAAATGTTGTTAGTTACGATTCAGGTCGTAAAAAAGATTTATTTATCGAGAATACTGATGCTGTTTACTGAAAATGATTTGGCTGAATCTACAAATTACTTCCATTATTATTAATAACAAATTATTTCATTACGAAATGTATTTCAGAGATAAACGGTTTCACTTTAACAGAACATTCAAGCGAGATCTTGCAAACATACAAAACAAGTTCCACTGCAATATCGAATAATTGGTCATGGTAGAGAAGTTTGATTGCTTCCGCGTCGAATATGCGATAGTTGCAGTTTTGCCAGAGCAGTGGAAGTCTTCCTTTCTCTCTGCGTTAGCTCAAGCTCGTTGGAAATTAGAAAATATGTTTTCGAACTACCCGTCCATCTTAATTTCAGGCATTACCGTGACGACATGGTCGCGAAAGAAAATAACTGACAGAAATGCTGACAACAACCGTGATGACGTACATAACGCGGAGATTATTTACGTAAAGTCAAATATACGTTTATAACATGTTATATGCTCGTATTATATGTTGAAGTAGAGCTGTGCTTCCGTCGATCTCGCTTGATCCAGGTCGCCGTAACGCTCGCTCGCGGAAAGTTTTCCACTCCCGAGAGCCGGAGCTTACCTGACCGATCAAATATTAATGCCGGAGGATTATTGCCTCCAGTTGCGTTTGTTTGTTGCTTGCGCGTAGCGACCCGTTACTCGCGCACGAGAATGCGGCAAAAGTTTGGCGTATGGAAATACAATTATCGCCAGAATTAAACCGTCGACCCCGTCGACTCGAGATCATGGAGTTCCGATTCGCTCTCGAAATTCTCCTGGACTCGAGTGACAACTAGACAGACGTCGGCTATTGCCAAGCCACCAAATAACATTGAATGGACGAATGGACGAATGGGCGATAAAATGAAAACAGTGCTTGAAAGCGTAATAATTCTCGAGCGCGTACGTTTTCCATGTAAAATGAAAAATGGTGAAAATTGCATGAAAGATGAATTGCACGAGACAAAGCAAGAATTTGAAATAAAGCGGGAAGAGAATTTCATAGAATTCATCCGAAAAAGTCGAGATGACACGCGACATATGAACGTTGTCCTTGCCACGGAACAATCTCTTGTCAATAATTTAATCGCCGCGACCGGAGGTGTACTGTACAATTTTGAATATCCATATTTCAGCATGTGGGAGGGTTACGAGACCAGGCCGCTTTTGCAATTCGAAAAGCCGGGATTTCTCGTAATTCCTAGATTAACGTAGGCGTACCCGGCGCGGCGGTGGGCGGCCTGGTTGTTGATCACAAAAAAAAAGGCGCGCGAATAAAATGTTGGTGTGTATTTTGCATAATCGATGCACGAGCTGGTTGCATGTTTCGCAGCGATACGGCGCACGAAATGTCCGCACGAGGACATAAATCGAGCGAACGGTATATATACGTGTATATGCAGCACAATCGAATACGCATGTAAAGATGATCGATTGATTGTAGATCGCGCCTCCATGAGAAGACCGTACGCTGCAGATACGTATGTATAGACACGAGGACGTAGACAAAGAAATTATATACCCGCTATTTATCTACGACTTCTTGGAGCGCGATAGTTGAAGACCAATGCGAATAACAATTTGCGAGTAATTGAACTGTTGCGCCGCGGCAGATACTGTCGACGTAATCAAAACGGAGAAAACGCGAGTGCTTGTCGCGTGGCGATATTGTTCCGAGCTTGACAGGGTAGATACAATACCGTTATAGCAGATGGAGGGGTAAGCGGAGATGCAATAATTAACGTTTCGTAACGGCTGGGATGATCCGGCTTAAGCAAAGTAGGCAAAACGGTGCGTGTACGCCGGTCGTTTGCAATGCGATAGTCGTTCGACGTTGCTATCTAATTAAACGCCGCTCATTGAAAATCCCGTTGCGCGTGGCGGTCTCATATTCAACCGCAATACAATCTAATTTCGCGTTCTGCAAATAATTATTCTCACATTCCGGAAGCGTGCTCCAAATATTCGGTTGCAATTATAAACACGCGCAGTCCCGCTTTAATCTACGCGATGTTTTTTCAGACGTGAGTATTTCGCGGTCAACTGCCGAACTCAAGTTTTGGCCGAGAAGAAACTTGCTGTAAATTAATACAGGAAAATGAATTTCCTTTGTCTACTTACTCTCCCGCCTCCTTCCTTCGGCCTCGACTCACCGAAAACAAATTTTTTTTACTTTCGCGACTTAAACAATTTTGTAATTAAAGTCGAAATTAATTGTTTAGCAAAGTGAATGTAATGTAATGATAATAGAAGTGCAGAGTATAAACAATTGCGTATAATATTGTGCGTATATTGTTGCATTTTATTCTTTCACTTCGGATAAGAGAATGCATGAAAAGAATTTTGAGAAGAAATGAATTCGTGAAACATTTAGGTTTTCATTAAGGTGAGCAAAGCCCCGGAAGGTATTATTCAAAGGTGGCTGAGTGAAGATGAGCGAGAGAAAAAGGGGAGAGAGAGAGAGAGAGAGAGGAGAAGGGAAAGAAGGATAATTGGGAGTGGCGCTAACCTTTTTACGAAACTCACTTCCACCTTTGATTCAACCTTCCTGGCTTAACTTTTTGCGAGGAACCAATCTGTGAAATCGATAGCTTTCTTTCCTTGAGCGGCAAACGGCTGTACGATGTGCCAGACGGGTTTCCTCGCAAAAGGATTTAAATTCCGACATATTGAAATCCAAGCCGTTCCTACAAAGCCGCCACGAGTTACAGCAAACGAAAGTAAACTCATTTCAATTCCCGTCTATATCTTTCATTATAATGCAATCCGAACTTTATTTCCTGAATGTCTACCTCGAGTGATAGTCAAGTGTACACAGCTTTACACAAGTTAAGTGTAATTAAGGAATATTAAAAAAAAAAAAAGAGGAGAAGTTATTAGCGACTTTGGTAATCAGCCTCTTAGCAACGGCAAGGAGATGACACGAATGTTCACCAGATTGAGATCGGTTGCCTTCGGTCGCGCCAATCTATTTCGTACGTTAATTGGAATCTCATTAAACGGAAGCCAACCGAAATGGTTTCTCTACAAGGACTTCGCTCAATGCTCGACCGATGCGGTAATTGACGTAAAACGGGTTAATCAGAGTACTTGGTTTTCCTGCGGCCTTCTACTGTACCTGTTTCCCCGTGCCACGATTTTACGTTATCGGATTACTCATCATGGCATATTTCACAAAATATCGCTGGTGACTCTTTTCAGAAATTCAAGGCAACGTATTATTATTATTATACCAGACCCGCTGCGGAAAGATGATATCGCTCGGAACCGTTTATTGTTCACGTTTGTTCTCCCGCTTAATACATCATCTAAAATTAAGGATTGCGCTTTAACATCATTCTAAAGTTCACCTTTCTCCCTGTCGTCTTTCAAATATCTTACACGAGCATGTCGTTAATATTACTGCGACATACTTTTTTTTTTATTTACTATCACGAATGTTACTAGGGAGAAACAGAGAAGCAATGTTATTTATACAGGAAGCGACACACCGACATTTGAACACGTCTGCGAAAGATGCACGCGTTAATGAGACACCAGTACTCATGCCTCGCGGGTGACCTCTTCGCGTAAGCAGTAATAATAATGTTTTTAATGTAATTAACTTGGTAAGCTACGGAGCGGAGACGGAGTGGAAGTGAAATCAGATTTATGGACCTTCAACTAAAATCGCGCGCATCCGAGAGACCCGACAAGGAAGTCGTTAAAGTAATTCGTATTTCTCGCGATAATGCGATTTACCACGCCGTGCATTCAGTAACGATAACGTGATCTTTTACGGTTTTATTCATCGTGGCTTCCATTCCGTTTACATCCATACACACTCTCATTTTGCGTTAGATACTTCGTGAGATTGTTGGAAATCGAATTGGGATTATATTTAATTTTTAAGTGAATAAAGTGGCCATACAGCATCACAGATAAAATTTTCTTTAAAATCTTGTTCTGAAAAAGGAAAATAAAAGGTATTATCCAAATGCCCGAAAGTTTCAAAGTTCACTATTTTGTTCAATTTTGTTTCATAAAAATAACTAATGCATATTTAACTGTAACATAATATACTACATTATTAAATTCATAATATAAAATAATACACAAAAAGAACGGTTTTGCCGATGTATATAAAAATTTACGTAGATACAGGGCTGAAAATAATTTTGTTTGGACCATTAAAATAATTAAGTAGAACGTTCAAAGTGATTCTTAGAATATTAAAACTTTTTGCAGCGTTGTCATCAACATTTAAACGTTCTATTTTTATGAGCCAACAAAATTATTTTCAGATCTGTATCTAAGTAAATTTGTAGATACATACTTCAGCAAAACCGCCCTTTCTGTGTATTCAATTTGAATTATTTTCAATCATTTCTATTGGTTGCCACTATTCCTACTTGATATATTAATTTAACCAAAACAATAGGGTTAAACAATTTAATTGAATAAAATGTATTAACGCAAATTTAGTTTAATATTTACTAAGAACATATGTTAATATGGATGTTGTTTACTTTGAAACTAACCACGGAAATGGAATGGTTTACATTTTAACACACATATGAAAGCTAAAAATAACAAAATGTTATTTAACTCAAGGGATTGTATTATCATTGTTTCTTTAATATTAATTCTAACGGTGTAGTAAAAATATAACTATAAAATTAAAAGTTCTACTTGAGGTGTGAGGATTCCACCTACTAACTTGCGTATCTTTAAACTACCCCTACCTACTTAAAGGTTAATTTTATATATATATATATCCTCTTGTAGATAGGTCTCTTATCGATAATTAATCTTATACGACCGAAAACGTTTTGGAAATAATTTTATTGCAGTGCTATGGACGTCGGAATACCGGTTGACAGTCCAAATCTGGTGCTGTTGTTTTACGTGGCTCAACTCTTCTTACGCGAACTGCACAAGAGCAAAAACCTTATATCCATCATACCCATGGACATGTCCGGATATTACGGTAAGTTGCGCGTGCACGTTTACAATATTTCAATAATGATCTATAAATTATTTAAAGAATCTGTGGATGTGTGCAGGGAAGTGGAACAAGTCCACGTGGAATGTTGCTATAACTTTTTTTTATACAAGTACGTGGTCGCAACTTGGTCGTTGACGATTTTAATCTCGAGAGATAAATGAGCGCTCGCCGACTGAGGCAAAATTTAATTCACGTCGTTTTCGGTAATAACACTCTTAATTATATTCCCACGCGTGGGACGATTTGTGCAAAAGATCGCAAGAACGATCGTGCAGGAACGTGTCATCGGAATCGAGTCGAGCGTTGCGTTATCGACTTCCACCGAGGCGTAACGTTAAATCGGTTTCTGCGGTCGCTTTGAACCAGCCCGGATAGACTGATTTACGGCGTGTACATCCCAACGGACCATAACTCTCAAAACTACCGCGTACAGTTGTAGGCCGTTACGCGTTCGACGAATCCCAATTTCCGACTACACATCGCTTCCTACAATCAAGCCGAATTCTATTGTACACAACAAACACGTGTCGGAGACAGAGTGACGAATCATCGTTACATGCGTAGCGTTAATACACGTTTTTCTAACTTTTAACGGCGTATGCCACGCTATAACGTGTAAGCAATATAAGGTATCTTTCTCTCTCATAAGTGAAACTTTGCTCCGAATAATTTATAACTATTTCCTTGACATTAGCACTATAGTTTGTTCCGGGTGCTCGCTTATTTCTCCCTCCGTTGCACATATTAAAGTTTATGGAAGCTTTTTTAAATCTCATCAAAAAAAAGTTGAGAAACGCCCTATGCACTTTTATATTAAAGTCACGCTAAACAGAGCGTTACGTATTAACATATTATATTATTAATAAGAACGTGATTATTATTTCCACCACACACTTCGCTTAAAGTATTTCCCTCGGATATATTTCACGAATTTCCGGAAGAAGGAAGAAAGACATTGTTAAAATTGAATGACGTAGAAATCTAACGACACAGTTTTCATTATCGCGTTACAGAGAACCGCGCCGGTCCCTCGTATATCGGCAATGTGGTCTCGCAGATCCTCCTGTGCAAACAGATTAGACCGGACTTCAACGAAGAGGAGCTCTGCAGCATCCGAAAGGACTCGGAAGAGATCGGCCAGCTGATAGCGGAGCTACAAGAATTTATGCCCCAATCTGAGGCTGACACGGGTACAATTCCGCCGGTACCTTCGTCCATATTCCGTCCGAGAGCTTTGCCCTATTCAGTGATCGTCCCACGAATCTATCAATCATGGTTTTCAGAAAGTAGATTTAACAACGTGTAACAAAAAAGAAAAGGAATTAGACGGAAGATTAAGTACACGAAAGAAGGGTTTTGCTAAAGATCTGAAAATAATTTGTTAAACTATCAAAATACATAATTATGATGGATACTCGAGCTGGTTGCCAGAATATACAAATTTTTTGCAACATTGCTCGTCATGCTTGAGTTTCCTACGTAATTATTTTCATGTTCCAACAAAATTATTTTCAGAACTGTATTTAGTTGAATTTTTACATATTTTAGCAAAATTGTTTCTCCTGTGTATAATAATGTATTATAAAAATTAATATAATAAAACTTCTATTATATATCTCGATCTAGCCGGGCAAACAAGGTATATTCGGATAATCGAAATTTTTACGGATAATCGAACGATCGCAAATGAAGAAAGTCTTTATCGTAACATTCTGTGAATTGTAACGAAATAGAGAAAGAGAGAGAAATTATCATAATAATTTACCAGTTTTTTTCATTCTTTTCATTTTATTTTCTCAGTTCTTTTGAGCTATTTAATTTACATATTTTTCTTTATTCATTGCAATGAATGGGGCTGCGCTTTCTTTCTGTGCTTCGTAACATCTGAGACCTGCTTCTAAAGCAGAAGATTGTGCCTCAGAATGACTGGGAATGTTGCTTTCTAGCGTTTAGGTCTTGTTGGTACATTTGTTTCATGCTACTGGTATCGAGATGAAGATGTATGTTATATCGTGTATAACATACGCCTACATATGTTTGCGTGAACGTAAATGTACACGAGAGACGTTCATTCTCCTAGCAATGCCATTTAGATAACAGAGCTTAAACGATACATTCAGATAATAGAGGTTTTATCATATATATATAATATGTACAAAAATACACACATAACATACACATTTTTCGTAATATATATTTTTACGCTACGTGAAAGTCGAAATCTTTCCGGACTTTGCGGAGCGAGATTAAAAGGGATGGGATAAATAGGTCGGAAAATCTGTAGATGTAGATCTTGAAACGAGGCGGAAGAGATACGGAATAGGCATGATCGATATAATATGCAGAACGGAAAAGCATTGTGGGCTTTCGGGCACGTCATTAGTACGCGAGTACCACAAACGTGAGCTTGTGTCGATATACGGTGGACGCGGGAGAACGCCATTCGACCCTTAGACCCTGGTAATACGGGTCAAGGACGATCCATTCTGCAAAATCCGTTTGTCCGAAATGCATTCCTCCGGTCCGTGAAGGAAGCGCGGGTGAGCGAAAGTGGCAAATGCCAGAGGGCAAAAAAACGAAGAGAGAGCGGAAAAAGAGCGGAAAGTGAAAAAGGGGTGAAGGGGAGGGAGAGGGGCGAGGGAGGAATGTATACTCGTTGGCCAACAAATCTAGGCTGTCGTTCGTAAAACAATCTAACTCGTTTGTTCGATAAATATTGCCCTCTATTGTGCTGCAGGGAGTTGACTTAAGCGTGAAACAGAAGGACGGGAATGCAGCGAGGAGGAGAATGGGAGGTGAATTCGAGATGGAGAAGACGAAAGGGTAGTTTAAGCGCGAATTAAACTATGTTTCTGCTTCATAAATCAATGTAATGCGGGAATAATAGCGGAGTTACATTTGAGACGGCCGTATTATTAATGAATGCGTAACACCCGGTAGATCCGGAATACTCCGCGCTTCGAATTTCAAACGTTTCAAATAATAATGACAAATAAATATGATGCATTCACCGGAGTGACAAGACTGCAACCACTGAAAATCCTTTTTTGTTTTTTCGTGCACAAATGTAGTCAGCACAATGCCTTACGGTACTTTGAAAAATTTTGGGCAAATCTGAATCCGAAAAAAAAAACCCGCGAGATATGATGAGTCAGACTAACGAACGTGGGAAGGAGAGGAAACAACGCGTGCGATGCAATCTAGGATTTATGAAAACAATATCGATGAACGTTTTCATATCGCACTCATCTGTATTCATGTTGCGAATTCGTCAATGGCCGAAGACAACGTAATGTACAAGCGCGAACGTATATGTATTATACATGCATGTAAAGAGAACGCTTTTCCCGGCATACTCCGGAAATCTCAATTTGCTGAATGTCATAATCAAACTCGCGCACAAAACTCATCGTTTCTGATTCTGGTCGCGTAATGGTTTTTGCACGACAGCTAAATTTTAATCGATTTTAATGCGCTCCGCCGTCGGGGGTGCGAGCTTGTTTTGCAAATGTATTCGCAACTAAATTAGTAATTAACAGCCAGAAGAAGGGATGGACAGAGGGATGGTGCAAGGGGGGGAGGGGTGGTTTCCAAAACACACAGGGAGGTTTCGCGCACAGTTCGGGAACAAGGTCGGAGCCGCGATTCCAGCTTCCGCGGTACACCGAGCGAGTGAGTTGAGTGCTCTCTCGTAAGCGAGTCTCCGCACGAACGCGACTCGGTTATCGAGAGGAAAAGCAGCGGCGGTTTGATACGGAGCTGTGATGCGGGTCAAGGTCGCGCGAGTCGCGGGGAATTGAGATGATTCGCGATTTCCGCTCGCGAAAGATACGCGAGGTAAAACGAGAATTTTTCAGAAGACAGGTGGGCGGCCGCGAAATGTCGACCGCACGTTTCTGAGCGCGGTGAAAAACGGTGTAGACAAAGCGCGCGGACAAATCGCGAACAATTCTCGACAAACGATAGAATCGCTGAGTGGTACACTCGCACGATGAATCTGCAAACATTGTGAAATTCGCAGAACAATCTCGCCGCTGGTTTACGAAGGAGAGAATTCGACGAATATTTCCGGCGGAAACGCAACACTGCAAAGCAAAATTACCGCTTCTCCTGTACACTCCTCTCGTTTGACTTTGCAACCCTTCTGTTTGTTCCACAATACAGTCACTATGTTGAATTAACCCTAATACATGCGATTAGGTCATTCATGACCTATTTTTTTTTTTTTTTCGAAAAATTAAGAGCATCGAGCAATTAGTTTAATATTTGTCTAATGTTTTTTAAATATACAACTTTTTTATAAATACTTTCTAAATATGTTAAGGTACATGCAAGATTAATATAATTTTTATTTATTAAAATGATGGAAATTAATCTGGGACATGAATAACTATTGTGTGTAGTTACACTAAAAAAATTACTAAATTTTAATAAATATTAGTTTGATAGTTAATTTTAAGTAAATATTTATTAGATATAAACATATATTGATACAAAAGCTAAATTGATTTTCATTATCATATTTTCATATTGAATATTGAATATTAAATATTCACTGTAAGTAAATATTTACTTAGTAATCAAAGAAATATGTATTAAAATTTAGTACATTTTTTTCAGTGTAAGGGACCGGAAAGTCATCGTGTGCATTAAGAGTTAATACACAGAATATCGGTTAATGCAATGTTCTTCACTAAAACATACAATTACACTTTTTTATAAGACGCAAAACTGTATCGCTTTCGTTTTGGTTTTATCGGTGTCCCAATGAATTTTTCGGATTTTTTTTTTTTTAAATAGAATAATTTGTTCAAAGATAATTTGGAATTTATTACATTTCTGCGCTTATACATTACGCGTCGCTTCACTTCGATATAATCTCGAATGCATATTCCGCGAATTGCAAATAATCGGAATTATTCGAAATTAATTTCGTTTCGTTGGACAGATAAATATAATCGGTGATAATGGATAGAGTTTATCTAACCGGAAGATATGTGTTACATCCGTTGTTTGGGATTAACACAAGCCGACATCCTTCTCGCCCGTTACGTCAAACCTCGCGAGATTATCCTTGTACGCTTTCAATCTCTCGTGGAATTTCATATTCCTGTCGCTACCAACATTATCTGGGAAGACCCCGATGGTATTGCAATTTATAGCGATCGTCGCGTTGACAGAATTAAGTCGCCCTTTCAGCAACGCGATCCTTTTGCCCTCCAGCTTCATATCTTTTCGTAAGGCTCGAAACGCATTAGGTATCTTCCCTTTTCAGTAAAAAAAAAAGAAAAAAAAAAGAAAAAAAATAGAGAAAGCTTGAATGGATGCTTACCGTAGTACCGTAGATTCTCATTCACACATTACAATGAGTGATTTCCAACAAAAGACAAATGACAGTGTAACACAATGAATTATTTCACCTTTGTTTAACATTGGCAACTAACAAGATTGTAATGATTCACTGTGCTGCACTGTGTCATCACATCTATACTTCTTGCTGGAAAACACTCGAAATGTCTCTAAATCTGTGCAACAATTTCGAAATTTTAAAACCCCCTTTCTTTCTTCAGAATAGACAAAATAACGATCTAATCGTAAGTTACAATGGCTGATTTTCAGTAAAAGACACAGATATTCAAGTAGAACACAGAAATCATAATAATATCATAAGACATCATCACGATCTTATTTGTTATTTATAAATTCATTTTTAAGTATTAAATGATCATTATAACATTAACATCATTATACTTATTAATTATGACTCTGTGTTTAACACAGTACACTGAGAATCATTTCGTCTTTGCTTAACATTGACAAATAACAAGAATGTAACGATTCACTATGCTACAATGTCATCTGCGTCTTTTGTTGGAAAAAAACTCTTTCTAAATCTGCGAAATTTTAGGATCCTCTCTTTTATCCCTTCAGGCCATGGCAAAATAACGATCTAAGTCATAAAATTGTCTATCTCTGATTCTCTCCCTAGAGAAACCGGTGGCTCTTCACAATCCTGGGAACAAAATCAATCGGAACAACGGAACACGGAGGATGCACCGATGGAGCAGCAACAGAGACCGACAATCGTCCTACTTCCGCAACGGTTTCAGATTTCTGTGCTGCGCCGCGAGTACTAATTACGTTTAACGTACATATAATTCATCTCGATTCATTAAAACGTAATATAGTTCCGATTAATTTAATAATGAATAATTAATACGCACTGATATTTTCGCAGTGATTTCAACGCTAAATTCCCTAAAATAAAGTTAACTGGAATCGACGGAGCTTCGGCTTCGTAAACTAATCACGATGAAAAGTCCCGTTTATAAAGTATCCTAAGAAAGGCGTAACAAATATTATAGTTTGGCGATTTATCTTCAAAGGAATGTGCTCAAAGTTGCTTCGCTTTCGATGAAGCTTTAATATCGCGCGTTCATTTATCGTAATTTCTCAACCAGTGTCTGCATCATTAATATACGTCTCTCTTGGGATACTTTCTATGAAAGACTATACGAACAAAGAACGTCGCAACGATACACTTCGTCGGATGATACACTTCGAAAGGCCTAACCGAAAGGCCTAAACCTGTCCCATTCGAGAGATATCCTTGGAACAAATTTTTAACGCACGTACAGCCGGTGACAATCAAAGTAGAAGCTCGAGACGTCAATAATTATTACAAATCACATCGCAATAGATACGGGTAAACAGATAACGGGAACGAATGAGGCAAAAAGGGGGAATTTCAGCACCTTTTTCGTCTTTCAGCAAGAATTCTAGTGGCACTCGATATTGCTCCCATTTTTTTTTTTGGACGTTCTTCTGTAGTCTTCTCTCCTAAGAACTCGCTGTCCCATTAAATTTCCAAGTCGCGGACAAAAGAGCCGCCGGTGTCGAGGAGCCCCTTTATTCAAGTCCACTTCACAATCATTTCATCAATCCCGCTATAATTGCTCGGATGGTCTAACTCAAATTTTTCCAAAATCGTATCTCTTATGGTAATCAATTTTCTCGGTTCGTCGCGTTTAGATCTATCGTTTGTATCAAATTTAATCGGAGATCTTCAATAACAAGGTAAATCTAATAATAATCGCTCTCGTAATCAAAACTAGCTTGTAATCTTTCGATTCCGGGTCTTTAAATCCTAGAATCTAGACGAACGCATTCGAATATATTGTCGAATATATTATCAGAGTAAATCGCGTCTGTGTCGTGTCAAAACGAGTAGATGTACGTTATGGAGCAATTATAATATCTTAGCGTATTTACAAGTGAGTGGACCAACCTCGATCTATTTATAATGCGCGACGGACGCACACGCATTATAGCTCTAGGTATCCGCGTTTCGCATCTCCGCGTTATATATATATGTATATAGAGATCGTCTACAAAGCAATACGTAGAAGTTCACACAGAAAAGCGTTGCGCAAACATATAAATACATATGTATATGTATATATATATATATAGATTTAGTCGCGCACGCTCGTTCATACATTTCTCTCGCATGAAATATTATATAACCGGAAGCACCATCGTTATCTCATGACTTTAACCCTAAACAGTATCGGCAGTATTTTATTACTCAATAAAAATAAAAGAGAACGGAGAGAAAAATCTGTCTAGCTTTAACGATCAGTTTTGTTCCGGAAGGTTGCTTTTGGTGCTTTAACTCGCAATAATAAATCTATCTATTGATATATCGCAGTGTAAGAGGGATATTTTTGTATTTTCGCACAAATGGAGCGTTACTGTTTCGGGTTAATAACGATGCTGCGTGCGATCAGCCAGCGGGCATCTATGAAAAAAAAAAAAAAAAAAAAGAAAAAGAAAGAGATCGATACTATGAGAGTGTTAAACAGCCGTATACATTTACGACCGCAATAATATAATATAAAAGATACAAGATATTTTATTACTTTCTCTTTTTATCCGAATATTCTGACATACTTTTTTAAAAAAATGAACCGCACCTTTGAGTCTCTCCCGCGTTAATTGTTACGTTCACCAAGAAATCATACGTGATATCTCGAATGTTCCATATAGTAACTCGATTGAGTTGTAAACTAGACTAATTGTAAGATCGCGTAACGCGCAACAGGAGAGAGTGACTATTTTATATGCGTTGCGCGGAAAGAGACGAAAAGATACAGAATGATTCGCTGTGGAATGACCACGTCATGTTTCTTCTCCTATTCCAAGCGACGCGAAATTGTACGTTCGATTAAATTACACATATCAATCGTGATCGGGATCGAAGAGAGAAAAAAAAAAAAGAAACGATCGGCTAGGATATCATTCTTGAAAAATACCGCATATACCGAAAATGTGAAGAAATTTATAATATACTCTCTAAATTCTTTGGAATAGAATCACTCTAAAGAATGAAATCTCACTCTTAAATATTGAAAATTCTGCCACTCTTTTTGAAGAATGACAAAATTTTCACTCTCTAAAGTGAAATTCCAAAGAATTTAGAGAGCACGTAACATATATTATAACATTTTCGTTCATTTTCGTATGCGATATTTTTCGAGAATATGATCCCTGATCGAATCGTTTACCTAAAAATCGGTAGTCGCGAAATGTTGAAATGCGTGGAATAACGATCAGTTCGAATCGTTCGTTTTCTTTTCGAAAGGTAACCATCGCGTTGTCTGAATTCCAGATTAATTACATATCTTGAAACAAAATGAAAATGATAAAAGTGAGCAAATTTATTAGATGTAGACCAATTATAAATATTCTAATAAATTCGCTTACTTTCATCATTTTCATCTCGTTTCAAGATACATAATCAACTTCAGTATCTCGGTTCTGTGACTCTAAATAACAGTGTCGGTTATATACTCCAAGTACTATGTATAATGATAAAAAAAACTACAATAAAGCGTAACAACAATAAAGCGATGTCAATACTGTCACTAAAGCCTAGCAATGAAGATTACCTTTAATCTCGGTTCTCGGTTTAATTTTCTGTTTATCTTTTTCTAATTTTTATAAAAGATAAAGAGTAAATTGGACTGTTGTGAGATTAAAGTTAATCTTACATTGGTACAATGAGATCTTAGAGAGAATTACAGAATCAGGATACTAATCTACCCCGGGAAACGATCGTTACATCTCGAATTGGCGATTCGGCTGTCTCTGCGTTCCTTTAGGCTTATCGCGGTATAAAAAGGGGACCGAAACTACTCGAATATTTCACTTCGTCGAATTTTACGTTGAGGGAACACTAACAAAGAAAAAAAGATATTAGCGCTAATATATCGTATTTTTAGGTGATAGAGAGAAGAAGAAAGTGAGCGTTAGGAACCGACTCAGGTTCGCAAAGTGACATAAATAGCGAAATCAAATTAAGATGAAATATAATGTATCACGTTGACGAAATAAATGAAATAAATTTGACTCGTTCGAAACGAATAAATCATTATTGCTTTCATCTTTTTAATCCCTTATATATATCCCGTCGTTTTCTTGTCTTCCTCTATATATATGTACATATATATATATATATACGATTGGCTCCAGAATCGTGGAACTGGTTAAGGAATGAAAAATAAACCATCTACTATCCGTTTTTACTAATTTAGATTAACTTTAATCTTGGTTTAACTTACTTTTTATTTTCTTCTAGTTCTAAGAAAAGTATAAAGAGTAAATTAAACTGAGATAAGTTGAGTTAATAAAAATAGGCATACATCGCTTATCTCGGCCGAAACAAGCTGCATGATGTTATAAATATATATAAACTTTGAATATAGTTCATCAGAATCAAGGACATAAGTAGCTCGATAGATTTAATCTCTAAATAGATAGATAGTTTAAAGATATAAGTTAGTAAGTAAGATGTTCATCTTTAAAAATTTTTACTTGTACAGTAATATTTTTTACTATATTATGTTGTAGTTAAATTTTTTTTTACATGAATTCTTAATATATACATATACACGACGATTTTTCAGATTTTTTATTATAGACGATGATCGTTATTCGTGCCACAGATTAATTTACATCGCTTTGACAAGAATACAAAAATAATTAAAAAGTGTTTGTAACGTATTGTAAGATTGTATATTAAAAAAATGAAGTTATATAATATAATGATATTTAATTATAATTATATATAATTATATTTAAAAATTGTACATAAATATTATAACTGCTTATTTGGTACTCCTATTAAAAAAGAAAAAAATGCGCAAAACACGAATGACGACAATCGTGTGTAGTACTAAAGATTAATTATATCCTTGTATATGAGAAATAGAGAAATATAAAAGTAAATATAAATGTAAACTTCAAAACTTCTGAGTAATACTTTTTATTTTCCTTTTCTAGAACAAGATTAAAAAAAAAACTATATATTTGAAGTGCTGTGGCCATCACAGGTTAAAAGTTTTGGAAAATTGGAGAGGAAAGTACTCACCAAAAGTAAACGTCGTGTTCTCGCCTCTCCTTCTCTTTCTCCAATGCTTTTTCCTTTCTCCATTCTCGTTTATCACGAACGCAAGCTCGCGTTAACGTACATATTAATACTACTAAGCGATAATTATTGACCATTATTTTTTAAATTAATATTATATAAAAGATAGAATTCCGACATTTTTTGATTTTTCAATGATTATGCTCAATAATTAATTATTTCTTTACTGATAAAATATTTTTTATCACTTCTTTTAGTTTAAAAATAATTTATTTACTTGATCCTTTTAGTGAATACGAAACGTTGACACTTATAACGTTAAAATGTATATAATGTAATGAGAAACGTGAAATTGCATTACAAACCCGAGATTTACCACAAATTCTATTCTAAAAGCAACTCACGCAACTTTTGAAAGTAGATCCTGGCGACATCTTACGCACGTTAGACGAACTAAATCCTCGTTCTCCATAGGAAACTAAATCCTTTAGGTCTGTTCGCGTTATTTGCACTTTTTGCACTTGACATCTTCGCATTCTCTCTTTTCCGCCCAAATATATCTCTTATTTTAAGTTCAAAATTTTTTGGGGATTTTAAGCAACACGAATAGATCTAATATTGTTACCCATTTCATTTTAATACTTACAAATATGATACATAAGACAAATTAGAGAAAATACGTGCGATACGTGCCGTGTTACCAGCTGGAAAATATCTGTGATTGTGTAGTTCAATGTTTTGTGCTCATAAGTCATGGAGGCGCTACTAAACGGGTTTCATCTGGCTCCTATACACTCTCGCAATTATATAATGGTGGCTGCTTGAAGCCCGAATTTTATCCTTTCGATCGTAGCAAGATTATAAAAATGTCTGTTGGTAGATTAATTGTGAGTAAATTACGCATTATGACGTTAAAACGTTCCTAGATTGCCTCGGTATTAAGATCAGCTTTCATTGTTTAGAACATTTATAAATATAAAATATAAATGTAACATATATACATTTTCATATAAATCGAAATGTATTTATCGTTTGTACATTTTCTTAAGTATTTCGCTACTCGGCTCGACTACTTGTCAATAATGCGAATGATTCTCATTTCAGACACGTACGTTTTCCACATCAACTGCCGTGCAGCAGATGGTGAAGGTATTTAATTTTGACAAACGACGTCCTGTTTTTGATAGTTGACAAGTCAACGAATCAATCCTATAAACCTTCTGGAAGTGATTTTGTACACTTTTACTTTGAATTCTACAATTGGAAGTTTTTCCTATAATAATACTAATCTATATTTTATAAAAACAGAATAAAACTCTAAATTTAGTGATATTTATATTTTCCCAGCACTTTAATTTCACAGTTATTCTGTTTTTTGTAAAATGTGGTTAGCCCACTGTTACAGCAAGCCCTTCAATTGTTTTGCAGTATAAGTTTTTTAGTATAAATTCCATAAACAATTTTATATACATGTCAATTATCTTTATCCTATTTGATGCATTATTGCAGCCTCCAATTCAAGTTTTTGGATTAGAAGGCAGATATGCCACAGCTCTTTTCTCAGCTGCAACTAAACAAAAGGCTTTGGATGCAGTGGAGAAGGATTTAATCAGCTTCCAGGTATCTTATAAACATCCACCAGATAAACATCCATCTATATAAACAAAAAGTTGTACATCAGGTGTTTATTTCAATATTAATTGTTGTGTTTGTATTTGAATCAGGGTCTCCTAAAGAAAGATACTGCATTGATAGATTTTATAAAAAATCCTTCGATAAAGCGAAAAGATAAGGCGGAAGCTTTTAAAGCCATCGGAAAGAAGAGTGGCATGAGTCCAACTACCGAAAACCTGCTGACATTACTCGCAGAGAATGGCCGATTGGCGAAACTCAATGTAATAATCAATTTGTACAAGTTACTTATGGCTGCTAACAGAGGGGAAGTAGTATGCGAAGTAATTACCGCAAGTCCACTTGATGCCGATATTAAGACGAAACTTGAAACTACATTGAAACGTTTATTGAAGAAGGGTGAAACCGCTT